TGTCGAGGTGGAGGACAGATCTCCGTGAAGCTGGGGGCATTGCAGGGTTTGTTGTGCTCAACTCCAAGTAATTTTCAAATATTTCATTTTTTTTCTTTCTTTTCAATTTTGCTGAGCCTAAACAAACATACACAGTAGATTCTTGCTGCAACGTGCACCAAGTAGTCACTTGTAATTTTTTGCAAGTAATATTGCATATATGCATGCATACATACATATATATACATACATACAATTTGCTGGGGTGGAATTCTCACAAGCGACTGAAAGTTTTGAAGTCAAATATTGAGTGTATTATTAGTTAGCCAAAAATTTGTTTTACATTTTTTTCCCAAGTATGGCGATTTAACAAGCACAAGTGATGTTATGTTTTCTTTTAAATTATTGCTTTGAAGTTGGTCAAATTGACATGTCTTTTATTCTTATGACGCTTTTAATTAATTGTTAAGGTATTGCAAATGCCTTCACCGGTAAAAGCAAGAGATAAAATGTATTTTTAGTTCAGGACAAATTACTCCATTCAATTTGTTCCCTATAAATTTAAGGTGCGTTTGGTAATTGGTCCATGGAAAAGTTAGTTTAAAAAAGGGAGAAGGTGAGAGAAAGTATTTTGACCATATTTGGCAGACTGAAAGTGGCTTTGTTGAAAATAACTCTTAGTGTGTTCAAGGGAGGGAGTTTTCTCTTATGATTTCCTTTTTTTTGTTTTTTTGGTGGCCCCTCTTCCTTTGAGTTCAATTGTTTTTAAGTGTTTCGGAAGTTTTTCCATGTAGGCCTGATTCAGTGTTCTGTTGTGTAAATTTTCAACTTTATCTAAACGCGTGGTCTTTGAAATATATTTGTCTCTAATCATGTCAAAGCTGTTAATTTTTAAATTATATGGTAAACTTTCATTCGATATTGTCTTTTTAGTTTTGCTACTTAAGGTTTGATAATGACACTTCTAGTTCCAAGGGTATTGCGGTGTCATAGTTTCCAATATGGTTTCTATGTAGATTATTCATAATGCATGTTCTAACTCTGATGCATGTTTCCTTTAATAGCTTGACAAATTTTTTCTACTCATGCATATGTTATTGGTGCTCATGTTATGTTATATTTGATTGTAATTCAGGGATGAAAGTGAGGATATCAAGAACATCGTTAAGCATGTTTGTAAAATATTGGACAAGAAAGACTTGTTATTGCTAACCATCCTGTTGGAGTGGACTCTCGTTTGAAAGATTTGATTAAAATATCAGAAAGCTATTCAATTAATGATGTTCTCCTGCTAGGGATATGGGGGATGGGGGGCATCGGTAAAACAACCATTGCTAAAGCCATTTATAATGAAATTGGTCGAAAATTTGAGAGCAGAAGTTTTTTGTCAAACATTAGGGAAGTTTGGGAGCAAGATGGTCCAGTAACTTACACTTACAGCAACAGCTTCTTTCAGAAATCTGTAGAACAACAATGATGGTGATACCTAGCATAGATTCAGGAAAAATCATATTAAAGGAATATCTTTGCCATAAGAGAGCACTTGTTGTACTTGATGATGTGAATGAAGTTGCACAACTAAATGCTTTATTTGGAAGTCGTGAATGCTTTGGTCCAGGAAGCAGAATAATTATCACTACTAGAGATAAGCATATGCTCAAACTCCTTAGAGTGGATCATGTATATGAAATAAAGAACATGGACAAAGTAGAATCTATTGAGCTTTTTAGTTGGCATGCATTTAAGCAACCAAGTCCTAAAAAGGGATTCGTTGACTTTTCTAGAAATATAGTTGCTTATTCTGGAGGACTACCACTAGCCCTTGAAATCCTCGGCTCCTATTTGTTTGATAGGGAAGAGGAAGAGTGGAGAAGTGTACTAGAGAAACTAAAAAGAATCCCCGAAAATGAGATACAAAAGAAGCTAAAAATAAGCTTTGATGGTTTAAGCGATGATATGGTGAAAGAAATCTTCCTTGATATATCTTGCTTCTTTATTGGGATGGATAGGAGTGATGTCACGCAGATATTGGATGGTAGTGGACTTTTTCCGCACATTGGAATAAGTGTCCTTGTGGAGCGGAGCCTAGTAACTGTTGATGAGAAGAACAAGCTTGGCATGCATGATTTGCTGCGAGATATGGGGAGAGAGATCATCCGAGAACAATCACCAAAGGAGCTTGGAAAGCGTAGTAGGTTATGGTTCCATGAAGATGCATTTGATGTATTATCAAAGCATACTGTAAGGACTTTCCTATCCTATATTCATCATTCTTTCGAAAAAGTAAAATGGCATGGAAAGCCAATTGAACATGAATGAATTGAGCATGTAGGTATATTTATAGTTAATTTCACTCCTGGGGCAGAAATTATGTATTTTTAAAACTCATTGTTGTGTCACTTGCTCTAGAAACTTGCTTGTGACAGGTTTACGTTTTGCCCTTCAGTAAAGGAATAACAGAGGTACGCACTTCAAATTTTATATGCTTTTTATTTGCAGGGTACAGAATTTGTCGAGGGGCTAGCTTTGAGTTTGTCACAAACTGATAGAGATTATTTTTCTACCAAGGCGTTTAAGCAGATGAAGACACTTAGATTACTCCGCCTTGGTAATGTGGAACTTGATGGAGACTTTAAATACATGAGCAGAGATCTCAGATGGCTTTATTGGCTTGGCTTTCCTTTGAAATACATCCCTGCCAACTTTTATCAGAAAAATTTAGTTTCTATTGAGTTGAAGTACAGTAGCCTTAAACAAGTTTGGAGGGAGCCCCAGGTATGTATACTTTTTTGGCATCAGGAAGAAAGTATTAGTCATTAGATTTTATTTCACTGCATAACTTCTAGATGGGTCTTTATTTAAGACTTTTCTTATAATAGCTTTGGATGAAGCTACTTTCATCACCAATCTTGAATATAGCTGCTGAATTTTTCTTCAATTTACTTTCTTATTTATATTCGTTGCTATAGATAGAAGCCTTTCCACCATCATAACTACTTATTTTTTCGCTGTCGGGACTTTATATCTAGCTAATTAAAGCTATCATTCCAAGTGTAGTGTTTTGGAGATCATTCTTTTTTCTGAGATGGAAAATTTTACAAAGCGGTTAATCAAAGTTTATAGAAGTTGATCAAACTCGTTACTGGCATGTCAAAATCATGTTACTGTCTACCAAATTGTATTATAAACCCATAAAATAAAGAAGTAGCACTCAATGTTTTACTTACCGTTTTCTGATTGGTTCATTCTTTTACAAGATGTAAAACGCTATTTTTATGAGACCTGCCAAGCATTAAGTGCATGCACACTTATTTTTACTCTAATGCTAGGCTTTAGAATTAGCCTTTAATAGTGATACCAAAATTGATGGTTGTTGATTTACTTTATTTATGGGTTTATTCACTAATTTTCCCTTGAATTTTCTTTTCTTGCAGTTATTGGAGAGGCTAAAAATCCTTAATTTGAGTCACTCCCTTTTTTTGGTGCAGACTCCTGACTTCTCAAAACTACCGAATCTTGAAAAGTTGATTCTTAAAAATTGTCCAAATTTGTCCAAGGTTCATCCTACCATCAGTCATGCCAATAAACTCATTTTAATAAATTTGAAGGATTGTACTAGCCTTCGCACTCTCCCAAGAAGTATTTATAATTTAAAATCACTGAAAACTCTTATTCTGTCTGGTTGTGCGAGGATTGAAAAATTAGAAGAAGATATAGAGCAAATGGATTCCTTGACAACTCTGATTGCTGATAACACTGCAATAACAGAAGTGCCTTTATCTTTAGTGAGGCTAAAAAGTGTTGGATATATATCTCTTTGTGGCTACAGGGGATTATCACGTGATGTGTTTCCTTCTCTCATTTGGTCACGGATGTCCCCAGTTAATAATCCTTTATCTCTTATTCCATCATATGTGGGCATGCCAATTTCCTTGGATATATTGAATAGCAATGTCCCTAGTCCTTCATCTGTCTATAATAACCTCGCAAAGCTACGAAGCCTTTTGTTGGGAATCATATCAGAGAATGACCCTGAAGTAATTCGAGGTGCTGCAAAAATTTGGGAATCCTTTCATGCCAGAATTTGCATGGACATGGCAACAATACCAAATACTTCAAAAATTTTTGAGATTGAATCTTCTGTGTTAACTTGTCATCATAGTCAGGTTCACATCTCAAGATCAGAAAATTTTTTGAGGCATCTTCTAATTCAAATTGGAAAGAATGACCAAGTCACTGCTACTCTTCTGGAGAATATCTCACAGGTTCTCTTTTTCATTCGTCTTTTTTCTTTCTTTATTTTTTGGTTTAAAAGAATATTCATTCCTATTATATGCAATTCTTTAATAACATTGGAAATGACCTTTCTGCTTGCCTTGCTATATAGTTGAACTAAGTTGCTACTTGTGTTATCAACCAGGGATTGACTCCCAGGAATTATAGTGATGCATATGTCCTTCCTGGCGACAATTACCCCTATTGGCAATGTTTTAAGGGTGAAAGAGCTTCTGTGAAGTTTAAAGTGCCTCGGATTAGCGGTCATGATTTGAAAGGGATGATTATTTGCTGTGCATATTTCCCTTCAAGTGATTTGAGTAAGAAGGCATGTGAATCTTGTGTTAGTGTAATGATCATAAATTATACAAAGACAACCACTCTGTGCTACAGGCAAGATTCACTGACTTCATTTGAAGAAGCTGAGTGGAAGAAAATAATATCAAATCTAGACTCAGATGACCAAGTGGAGGTGATGGTAGTTTTTGGTAATGGATTCACTGTGAAAAGGACAACAATCTACTTAAAATACGACGAGTCATTTGATGAACAGATAGAGCATCCACCATTACCAAGTATTATTAGCTTCTTGAAACTATCTTATTTCGCACAATTTTTAAGAGTTAAATTCGATTAAAGTTTTTGTTTCAAGGAGGGAAAAGAGTTAATAGATTATTGTTAATTTTAGTTACCTTGTTCTTTAGAAAGATTTCAAGGTTAACAGTTTTGCTTCTCTGTTTTCGTAGGTAGAGAAGTTGAGAAGAAGAACATGCAGACTTATGTTAGAAGGAGGAAGCGACAGAAGATTAATTAGTAATTCTTTAGTAGTTCTTTTCTTTTTAATTCCTTATTTTGCCATTGCATAATTTGTATTATTGTTTAAGAGATTTTAAGAGTCAAATAAATATCTATATTGTCGTTAGGATCCCCACATTTTCAAAACCGTTTTTCATTTTTAAAAACAAAAAAACAAAAATATTTGTTTGATAATTTGTTTTTAGTTGATTGTTTTAAAAAAACAGCAATATGTTTTTTTTTTTGGTAAAACAGCAAAATGTTTTTAAAAAATAAGACCCAAGACAATTTTTAGATTCTTTTGGTATTTATATTGTTTTATTTTTTGTTTTAAAAAATTAAAGAAATCTTTTTCTTTTTTTACTGACCGCTCGCCACATATCATCACTGGTGATGGTCACCACTTGTCAAATATGATTTTTTATATTTTTTTTATTTCAAGTGTGATATTTTTAAAATAACTATGTAAACATATTTTTTTTATTCTCAATACTTGTTTTAAAAAACAATTTTATAAAATTGTTTTGGGAATAAAAAAACAAAAAACATGAACAACCTTTCAGAAACCTTTGCTTTGGGAAGGAGAAACAGCAAAGCTCCATATAAGGGTGGAAATAGGTCAAATTTTGCTTTTAACAGGTTAGGCCTGTTTTGTAGCTTATAAGCCTGAACCTGGCCTGTGACCTGTTATAGGCTTATTTTTCAGTTTGAGTCTGGTCTGTATAAAGGCCTGGTCTGGCCTGAAGCTTGTGAAAAGGTTTGTATTTTAAAAAAAATTCAAATTACATAATGATATTTTAAAAAAAGTTAAGATTAAAAAAGCGTACATAATAATTAATTTTTTAGTCTTGTCTTTTATTTAAATTTTAGTGTCATAAGTATTATTTTATATCTTAATTACAATTTACAAAAATATTATTAAAAACTAGTTATAATTATATGTTAAAATTATGAATAAGAGTACGTTGAAGTACAAAATGAAAATTAAAATCAAGGCAAATAAATAAAGAGAAAAAACTATTAAGTTTACAATAAATAAAGAGGGAATCATAATTTAATTAATATAACACATAGGTCAATTAATTTATTATTCTTGGAACAAATTTTTCTTTTCTTTTCTATTTATATTTTTAAAATTTAAAGATCACATTATTTATTGATATTATTGTTTTAAATTGTATTTTTATCTTTACTTGTTAACTAAACTTCAAAATCCAAGGAAGTATTAAGTCATTAACTATGTATTAAAATTAAAAAATAAATTAAAAGAGCATATTAACAATAGTACTATTAATTAATTTTTTCATATATTATAATTATAAATTTATAACAAGCCTAGGCTGATCTAACAAACTTAATAGGCTTTTCAGAGAGTCTAAACCTAGTTTATTAAGTTAAACACACCTTCAAACAAATCTGAGCCTGCTTCTTTCGCCAAACAGGTCAAGCCAAATGCAAGCCAAGTTATAGGTCCTTGGCAAGTCGCTTGGCTTATTTCTACTTCTAGCTCGAGAATCCAGTAAGGTGGTGTCATAGCGCATAGACAATAAATGATTGAATGCTTATTTTATCTTTTTTATTTATCATTAATTTTTTTTATCTTTTTCGGTTTATAATGTTTCTTAGGTTATCTGGGAAAAAAAAATCCATACTGTATTAGTATTTGATTTTGATAAATGTACTACTTTTTAATTATTTTTATTTTTTTAATCAAAATTCAGTTACATAACTCATCAGATTTGGATTACAAATCTAATTGAATTTATTTCTTGCACTGTATATTGGGGGGCTCACTACACACACATATATATTTGAAAGATGGGTTCTAGTGTTGAAATATTCTCAATATCCAGATCATCATGCAAATCCCAAGACTAAGGTCTTTTCACACTTTATTGTGTTGAAATTCAGGGATTTTGATTCATGAAAATTAAGTTATCACTTGTTAAAAAATGAAAAATTAATATATATATTTTTATAAAGATGGCCATGACACTTATTTGTGCTGAGTTAACCAAATATTAATGGTTCTTAACTGGTCATTGGCCATTTAAACTGCGCTAATTAAAATGCTTTTTATGATTAACTTGTTTAGCTTTATTAAAAAAATTCACAAAAAAAAAATTCAAGTGAAATTGCTTAGAAACGTTCAGAAGAGCTAGTTTTGAAAGGTTGAAAGGAAATATTTAATTAAGGGTGTACTTGCTAGTTTTATTTCCACCTCATAAATCTGTGATACGAGCATCAACTATTCAGTATGACCATTTTTGTCATTAAAATAGTTTCATATTTTTTCTAAAGTAGCCTATAGTTTTAACTTTTAACTGAGTTAGAATTTGCCATAAAAAGAAAATAAATATAATAGAAACAATGACAATGATGTGGGAGCTAAGTTAAAAAAAAATAAGGTGAAAGTTATAAAATTTGAAATAAAAAGAAAAAAGTAAAATATGATAACAATATATATAAATTATATTAGAGATTGAGTTTAATTGATTCAGAATTAAGGCTAAAATAAAATACTATAAAATAAAAAGTTAATTTAAAGAATTTGAGCTTACAATAAGAGGATTCAAAATATCAATATGCATATTACTTGTACCACTGTAATAAAAACACCAAAACAAAAAACTCATTTTAATTTTTTAATCCTTTTTGAAAAAAAAAAATTCAACCAAATAAGAGAGACGAAAATGTAAGACCAAGCGGGGCAAGTTCAGGCTAGAGCCCAGAGGATAGTGGAAGAAGAATGGCGCGAAACTAATTCATTTTCGTACCGGAAAATTTGAAACCACGCCAGTCATAGATGCTCTGCAGAATTTCAGTTTCAAATCTCTGGAATAGTGCGTTCTGTTTCGCTGCTCTCTGCTATTAGGGTTAAGATTTCTGAACTGCACGCAGAGCGAGAACAAGCATGCATTCGAGCGAGTTCGACGGCGCCGCAGCCTTCTCCGGTGGTGGCTTTATGCCGTCTCAGGCAACTCAAGGCCATGAACCTTCCTTCTCCTATTCCAAGGTCCATATCTTTCGCATACCTCTCTCTCTCTCTCTCGCTCTCTCATTTTATGTTCTAGCAAGTGCGATTAGTGCTTTGGTTTGCTAATAACTGAACTGCGATAGTTGATTCACTCTATTCTTTTTATTTTTATTTATTTTAAATTTCTCCGAGCAATTAGCAACCACGTAATTTTGCTGCGTTTTGGCTTGATTATATATTGGAATATTGGTGAAAATTATAGGCTGAGTTATCTTTGTTACTGTTGTAAGTTAACTTCTGAACCGACTTAATACTTCGCTTTTGCAGAATCGTGATGCTCAATCATTGCTTCCTCTGACGGTCAAGCAGATAAATGATGCTTTTCAGTCAAGTGATGATAAGTCTAATATGATTATCGACGGCGTGGATGTGAATAATGTGAGTTTTTTTGAATTGCATTGGCTGTGGTCTTCTTTTCTCTTGTTCTGATAGTTTGAGTTAAAATCGTATCTAGGTCACTCTTGTAGGAAGGGTGTGCAACAAAGCTGGAAGGATTACTGATGTTACATTTGTACTAGATGATGGGACTGGAAGAATTGAGTGCAGTAAATGGTGAATTCCTTCTTCTTTTTTATTTGTTGGTGTTTTGCCTTTTTTTTTTTTTTGAGTTTACTTTTTCTGGTCTTTTACATGTTCACAGTGACAGGTAATTTTGCATCTGCAGGCTCCAGGAAGATGTAGACACCAATGAAGCGGAGGGTCTCAGGTAATTTTGCTGCTTATGTCTAGTGCTGTATTCGCTTGGTGATTTATTTTTTAATGATTTCTTAGTTTCATAACCTTATAATTTCTTTCATTACTCTTCTCTTTAAACAAAAACTTTTCTCGGTTATGTGATCATTGCGATCAAACTTTCTAGCGTTGTAACTTGACACAAAGAATATGGATTTATGAGTTGGTAATTTTCTTGCTAATCAGAATTTCAGAACATTACGTGTCCAAACATTATTTGCCATTCTGCAGTGAGATGGTTTATAAAGTTAATGTTTCTAGTAGCCAACTCTTTTTGAACGTATCGTTTATTTCGTTCCATGAAATATAGTAACTCCTTTTCTTTTTTTGGTTTCAGGGATGGAATGTATGTGCGCTTACATGGACACTTGAAAGGTTTTCAGGGAAAAAGGACCTTAAACGTATTCTCTTTTAGGTGTGTCATTAATATCAAGTCTAGTTATTCAAGTTTAGCAGTTCAATATTTTTTTATTTTCTTCTATATGTATTACCGTCAGAGTGCCAGCCTATAGTGAAGATGGTTGGGTTTTGAGAAATGCATACAATAGGAACCTTGCTAAATTCTGCTAGAATAACACAAAGAACACTGCAAGACACTTATATTTGATATTGAAGCAGAAGTACTCCTTGGACAGGTTACAGAAACCAATTCACTGTCTCACACAGACACATTCCAGTGCCAACAAGATTCAGTAAAACGCAACTGACCAAGCACATACTTCAGTTACACACCTCCAGACCAATCACAAATGCAAACCAGAAACTAAAATAGGAGCTGGCAAGATTCCTTCATTCAGCACGAGAAATTAGTAACATAGCAGAACAATCTCCACTATTAAGAGCAGACAGAACAAGAGAAGAAATTAATACACAAGACCAGTGCTAGCATTCGAAAGTCTAGCTCACTACCTAACTTTTATCTTAAAGGTTCTCTTCCCCGTTTGCCCATGTCAGGTTTCCTTCTTAAATAGTGTCTTCCAGCCGCTTCCTCAACCACCCTCTGACCCTTCATGCATTAGACTCTTGTACAATTGGCCAGTCTATTGGTTTCAGCTCTAGTTCCCTATTTCTACCCTTTTTTCTTTTTGGAACAATTCTTTACAGCAGTAATAAATTGGGTAGGATGAATAGTCCAATCAATACACCTTGTTTATGTCACTTTGCCCTCTGCTTGAAGTCTACAAAATTATGTGACTTGGATGACTAGTCCTATTATTATAAGCGTAAACGATGAGATCAAGCTGTTATTTTGTTAATAGTTTAATCTTCATTTGAATCACTTCCCCAGATTTCTCTATGCGTTCTTTTTCCCCCCCGGTTCATTCGAAATTCCAGTTATTGACGTTTGTTTGATATGGAAAGGTTTATTTGAATGAATTTCCTGGGTTATCATTGATTCTCCATGAATACTTTTATAATGGGTTGATTGCTAGTTTTTTCACATTAGCAAAGTCCTATCGTATTTGCTTGTATTTGTTTGTTCCGTATTTGTCACTTTTGAAATCTGCTCTGGTGTTGTTTCCAGGCCTTTGAGCGACTTTAACGAGATTGCAAGTCACTTCATCGATTGTATATACGTCCATCTCTATAATACCAGGATACGGGTAATAGTTTAGAATATTGCAAATTATATCTGGGTTTGACATGACATAAATGTGCATATATGATTCTTGCAAGATTGTGCTGTCCGCTATTTTTATTTTTAAATTATCTTATCGTGCACCATAAAATTGACAGAATAGTGTGCCGAATCAGCAATCTATGAACAATTCCTTACCTATTAATCCCACAAGAGGTTATCAAGCTGCCCCTTCAACTCAAGTGAGAGGACTATTTATAAATGATAAGTTTATTTTTGACCACTTTATTAATATCTTATTTGGTGTAATCTTTTTTTTTTTTTTTTGTCCTTCCTAGTTCTCTGGTCAGCACAACAATGGTCAGAAAAGTGTTGAAGATATGGTCTTGGATATCTTGCATCTTCCCTCGAACAGGTAATTCTAGAATGTGATTTGTGTATGTTTAGTAGTTAATCTTATGGAACATGTGGCCAACTCTGGTGCATCCTGGGTGGATGGATTTATCCTTGATTTTGTTTCTTATTATGGTAAAAAAGAAAAGAAAAAAAAGAGAGAGAACAAAAAGACTAATCTCTAGATTGTAGGCTTTTCCGTGTGACTGCTTAAAAATAATTTAAATCTTCCTTTCGAAAAGAAAAATGACAATGGCATATAATATCAACTCATGAGAATTACATCGGGTTAGACAAGAATTAGAAGTAAGCTGTGAGGCAATACATTTTATCATATATTGCAAGTTTGATCTGCATAAGCTTTGCTCAAAATTGAAGTGTGCCCTCCAGTGCTTCCTATGGTGCATACGGTTGTGACATTTTATAGCGTTCAAAATTTCCTTATCATTATATTCTGTGTTATTATCCTATTATGCACATATAGTTTTTGTTAAAATTTTCACTTGCAAAACTTGGTCCATTACTCAACTTTATCTTTCTGTTGCTTCAGGGCAAAAGAGGAGGGTGTCTCTCGGGATCTTATTGCACAGCATCTTGGACTTCCTTTGGATAAGCTCATGTCTGTCTACTTATCCTCCCTCCTTCCCCTTCTCATGTTGCTTAGCAGGACTATGTTGACGCAGGTTCTGGTTTTGCAGGTTATCCATAAAAAATCTTATTGAGGAAGGCGCCATATATGAAGCTATAGCTGATCATTACAAGTCAATCATCAATGGTTGACATCTTGTCAACGACTTTGATCCTTATCTGAGCCTGTCTGGTAATGATTATCCATTGGATAGTTGACTCTGCTTAACCCCGTATCATCGTAGCAGCTGCATTAAATACGGAGAGAAGCTAAACCTTAGTCTTAGTACCAGACCTTGATGTTACTGTTTCTAGTGTTCTTTTTACTCGCTAACTAATGATGGTGTGAGTTAGTACAGATTAAATGATATGTAATTAACCTGTCTTGTAAAGGGGTTTGTCATGAATGATGGGACCTTTGTTGAGGGGCTTTTGTTTTGGGGACCGGTAGTTATCTTGCAACTATATTATGTAGTGAGAAGCCGAAGTACTTTTTGAGCCTATAGAAGCTGAATGGATTGCTAGAGGCATTCTGAAAGAACGTTATTGGTAAAATCCATTTGCAGGCATCGATTCGGGTTATGTTAAAATTGAATCCTACGCATAGCGCTCTGAGATGCCTTGCTATTTCATACAACTCACGAATAAGATTAGTTTTTGGTTGTTCCTATGTGTACGAGATTTTTGGCAAAAATATGATATAAAACGCTTGATTCTTTAATAACATTGACAAGTTTGTTTTGCATGGATTGAGATAGGAAGAAATTTAGCGCCACCGTTAGACAACCAAGGGGACGTTAAGAGTAATGAATATAGATTTGTGATGTGGCGATAAATTAATGTTTCCAACCTTTTTAGAACTCCCAATATCTGTGCACATCAATTCAATTAGCCTTTTAAAAAGAAAAAACATTGGACGTTTTTGCTGAATTCAGCTATAAATTGCCCCCTGCATCCTTGTCCGCCAGGACAACAAAACGTTGAAATTGTGGGCTTAGAATGCCATATTGGATTCATTTTGTAGGCGTCAGTACTGGGGCCTGATAGAAATTCTAGCCCACGTTACATTCTGCTATGAATAAATCAGATAACAACTGGTTAAAGAAAAGAACGACCCATTCTGTACAAATAGTTAAAAATTGAAAGTAGTATTTACTGTGTAGGCTAAAAGGCCACTAGCAAATATATGTCATGTCTATGCAATTTCCTTGAAACTCGATTTCTGACTTACAGACCAAAATGATGTGCGAAATTTCTTCCCTCTTTCCGCGACAATGCGCAAGTCATTTTGCAGGGGACCATGGCAAGAAAAATTAGAAGGGACATATGTGAAAAAGACCCCTTAGCCATTTATCTTTCCCAGTCGGTGGATCATGAGGTGGCTATGATAGTTCATTTTTGGCCACTTGCTTCTGAACGTTGAATCCTTGCCTAGGCACTTCACTTCAGCGTGGCTCGTTACAATAATTCTTTCCTGCAATTCCATAAAAACACTTACCCATTATTATAATGTCATAATGTTAATTTCAGTCAGCTGCATTTCTGAACTTCAGAAATAGTTTTTTGAAAACTTTTTTTTGTCAATTTTTGTTGAAATTATACTTTTTTTCCTTTTGGGAAAAAAAGGCTCATAGTTTAGTGACGTGGATACTTTCATGTAAGTGGGAAGCTGCAGATTCAATCTTATTTATAATTTTAGAAATTTAATGCATGCCCATAGCCTTCAAAGGCAAAAGTTCTCAATTTTAGAAGAGAGGGGGAGGAGGGGATGAGAAGAAAAACCAAGGACTTGTTTGTTTGTTTTTTTACAAATGGTTTTTTTAAAAAAGAAAAAACAATTGTTTGACGATTTACTTTTAGTTAAGTGTTTTTAAAAAACAAACAAATAGAAATTTACTTTTAAAAACTAAAAAATCGAAACAATCGTTTTTGAGTTTCTTGCGTATTAGACCACGGGGAATTGCTGCCTTGTCATTCATCATATTTTTCCACTCATTTTTTGTCCTATTATGCAAAAGAGAGCCGAGCCAATGGTAGCCCTTCACATCATAATATTTGATGACTAGCTCTGAAAAATCCCAAGACTCATTTATTGGAGTAGATTTCTTAAATGCGTGCAAGCAAAAATACTCAAGAGACTCCTCATTATTTAACCTTTTCATTTCATATGTTATTATGTCAACAGAGAATTTGTAGATAATGCCACTGACATACTTTGCCCCTCTTGTAACGAATATCAAGCTCACTTTACCACACCATTTCACATGTCCCAATAATTTCTCAAGTTTACGCCCATTATATGCATCATCAAGTACTACCAAGACTTTTCTTCCGCGGATTACTTCAAAAATCTGTTCATCTTTTAAAGAAACATCTATCTCATCAAGTTCAGTTTCAGATATATTTGAAACAAGTTGCTTCTCGAGATTTCCCCCCGGTAAATTCCCAATATTTGAAAGGAAACTTTTACCCACAAAATTGGCACCAATTTTATCATAAATAGCTTTGGCAATCGAAGTGTTGCCAATACCTTCATCTCCCCACATTTCGAATATGATCGTATCATCCCACCAAATGTATCTCCAACTCACAATTTCAAGCAATTCCCTCACAGGAAGTGATAACCCTACTAGATGATGGCATGGTAGATCATGAAACGACTTATTATGCAACATGTAAAGATCTATGTTTGCCAGGCAGCTACTGATTTTGCTCCTGTCAGTTTGCGATGTAATGTTAGATTAAAACGACGAAGAGTTGTTCAGTCCCAAAAAACAAAAAAACACGAAAAGGTATAATGTGTGTAAAAGAAATATTGGCCCTCCATACACATTTAAGTTCTTTTTTTTTTTTTGGAAAAGTTTATCTTCTTGCTGCTTCTGCCACTACTACTATATGATTTAATATTTCTTACATTTATTAATTTTCTTCTCAAACTGTTCTTATCAATACTTTTTCAACAATAATTAAAGGCAACAATACTTCAAATGCACTCATATATTTTATAAAGTAACCAATGCTTGGTATTGCAGAGAAATTCATTATTAATAGTACGCAAGGGGAAATTCTACTGTTGTTTATTTTTTAAAAAAATAATAAAATAAAATGTTTTCACGTTTGTACCATTCAAAGTGATTAGAACTTTTTCACAGAAAAAAAAGCCCAATGGCTAGAGTATCTCAGGAGTGGTGTTTGTTTTTGTTCTTTGTTTTCTTATTCTCAAAATAATTTTATAAAATTGTTTTTAAGGATAAGTTTTGAAAACAAAAAACAAAAAAATTTTGTTTGGAAAATAATTTTTAAAAAATCACATTTGAAAAAAATATATACAAAATTACATTTTGACAAGTGATAGTTATCACCGGTAGTAATAAGTATTAGGTAGTAAAAAAGAAGAGAATAAGATTTATCCAATTTTTCAAAACAAAAAAATAAAAAACACAAAAACAAAAACAAGAAAACATGTAAAATTTATTTTGGTTTTTTAGTTTTTAAAAACATATTATTTTTTTTTAAAACAATCAACTAAAAACAAATTGTCAAACAAGTTTTTTTGTTTTTTTTTTTAAAAACAAAAAACTGTTTTCAAAAAAGAAACCAAACAAGTCCTTAATCTCCCTGTTTTTTCATACTAGGAAAACATAAGTTTCTTTTTGTATTTTATCCAATCAAATGAGTTCGCTTAATAATAAAAGGCTAAGCTATACTTTTAGTACCTTATCTTTACACAAGGTTTCATTTTAGTCTCTTAATTTTAAAAAATAAACTTTTAGTTTTTTAATCCTACAATCATTAACAAAAAATGATGATATTAAGTTTTTTAATACTGATAAAATATTACTAAATACTAACATATTTAGTTTAATTTTCAAAATAATCATGATTGTTATAAAAAATTATCATTTAAGACTAATAATTTTAGGGTTAAAGGATTAAAAGTATACTTTTTAAAGTTAATGGACTAAATTAAAATTTTACATAAAGTTAAATGACTAAATATACACTTTAGTTATGAAAAAATAAATTCTTATTTGAAAAAACTAAGAAAGAAAACAATAAAAAACTTCAATCCTACTCATTAATAACATTTCTAGGGAGAGCAATTGGCGTCTTAGCGAAGAAACAAGCTTTTAGTGAAGATCCGCTTTTTGAGCAAAAACTTATGAACAGTAAAAAAACCAAAATATTATACCATAGAAATTTTTATCAGGATAGTGATAATAACTATAAGATCCTAATCTACTTTGTTTATCAAATTTGTAATTTATTATCTATAATACTCTTATTAATAACATATATCAAGAGAATTTTCATTCGAAGATAGTCATAATTAAAAATATATTTTACGAAAATTAACTCATTTTTATTATAAATAATTTTTTTAAATAATTTTTTTAAATTTATTGAAAGTTAATGTTGATAGTTAACTGAAGATATTTTTTTAACTTTGCTCCCCGCCTCACGCTACCCCCCCCAACTCGAGTCAACTTCACGCGGCCCCGCTGCCTCCTTTCTTCGGCTTTTCCAGTTCGTATGTACGCGTTATTGATTATATATATACTCTTTCGGTCCTTAATGTAAAACCTATTTAATTAATTTGATTAGATTAAAGAGGTTAAGTAAGTTAGTTAATTATAAGAAAAGTGATACATTTCTCCTAAAACACCATAATCATCTTTCTTAATACCCCCTCTCTCTCTTTTACTTGATTATGGTTGATGGAGTATTCATAAGGGTAATTTAGAGAAAATTGATAAATATGAGAAATGAGTCTTATATTTAGAACCAAAACCAACTCAAAAATTGGGTTCTATATTAAGGACCGGATGAGTATATATATATATATATTCAATCTAAAAAGTGTTACCTTACATACTTGTAGAGTTAAATCAAAATAATTATTTTGTAAATAATTAATTATAATCATACATTATATTTTTTAATAAAAATTTAATGCGGCACTTAATTAAATAAATATTATATATATTTATTTATAATAATAATCGTCATTCGTCAGTATGTAGTTGTGTATTTAAATAAGAATGAGGAGAATACCTTATTAATATCAAAATCCAGTTTAAATAAAGATGAAGAAAAATAAAACCTTATCATCATATATTTTGTTTTATAATTAGTTATTTATGTGAACATGTTATAGATTTGAAGGTGGGATAATTTATACTCCTCCAGTCCTAAATATAATACAAAATAGGTCTTATATTTAGGACCAGAGAGACTATT